TTTGAAAGTACATTTATGGACCTTAACCACTCATGACATCATTGAACCTTTTGCAGCAATGCATTCAGGTCCTTGGTGCTTGACTCCTAACAATGGCTGCCATGACTATGTGGTGCCACTGCCTTCTAAGAATGAGCTTGGAGGTCATCCTGGCCCCCTGTGGATTGAGCCCATGTCTCATACTCTGCATTTTTCAATTAAGTCTTCAAGTAGCGTTGGAATATCGTGGAACTCTCTTTCTGCCATGCTAAGCCGTTGTTTTATCTTTCCGAGCTCTGAATCGGTTACAGAATGACGTTGGATACCTGCTCCAGCCACAATGCATGTCCCCTTTAAAAGGTGCAAGCCAGCTTTGAGTAATAAGGACTAGCTTTAAATGCTGTTCACTTTTCTCCATGTTTTGTCCCCAGCTGCACCATGCAGTTAGTGTTGGCTGCAAGTTGTAATCATGTTAATTTTCAGACAGTTAATTTTCAAAGTATCAGAAACACTGAATGTGCAAGTTACTGCTGCACTGGGATCGCTGCATTGTTTTTCCAGGGTTAAGGTCATTGTTATTGAATTTTACTCCGTAGTATTCGTTGGATGCGTATACTTGTATTTAAAATGACCGATGTCCAAGCCAGCAGTCTCAGCATGCACTTGAAGAACAGTCTCAAAAGCATTGCAATTGAGCTCCATACTTACTGCTACTCCAGCTTACTGATACTCCAAATAGGTACTGTAGTGATTTAACTGATCAGTTCACACTGTAAAGACTTGTTTGACACCTGTGAAGAAGATCAAAGTTCTAAAATGGGATGCACTTTAAACTAGCATGCATTTAACCATACTGCTTTACATTGACTTGATGACAAAGAATTAGTTTTTTGAAAAAAAATGTACATTTAATTAGTATGTGCACTCAAATGCTATAATTTACAGGAATTTCAGGCATGTCTCAGCAAATTGTTTATAAAAGATACTATCAATTAGCACAGGAAAGGTATGCTGAACAATACATAATGCAATTACTTCAGTGTAGAACATCCTAGCCAGAGAAATAGAGTTTTTCTATACTGAACCTGTGAAATGTCAAGTACACTTATCAGCCAGAGGCAAATATTGTCTGGCAGGCAAACTATCTCTTGGTGTCACATTTATTTGGCGTCAACTTCTTGGCCAGCTAACACCAGTTGACCTGAACAGGAATGCACCAGCTCCACAATTTTTCATCCTCATGACCAGTCTCAGTAGACTGAACTGTCTGCTTACCAGCATTCCTTTTGGTGTTCATGCAAGTCTGTGAATTTTGCTTTTATCCCCCTTTTTTTTTTCTCGGCCATGCTTAACTTACTGCTCTGGGTGGATGCTGAAGACTGTGTCGCTTGTGTGTAAACCTTGTTTTAAAAACAACTTAAATGCTGTCTGTCACCCCCAGTCTAACTGGCTTTGCTTTCCCAGGGCATTGCTTCAGTGTTGTTTACCACTGACCTACACTATGTTCTGACAGTGAAGGTCACTTTAGGATTAAGGGAGATTATCACCTAATGTTTTGTCGAGACACTTATGCTTACAGCATATTAAAATATTGGCTTCCCAGCAGAGTTTCTGGAAAGAATGATGAGATGATATGAAATGACAGAATTGAGGATTGACATGTTTGATGTTACAGGGTGTACCTTTTTTTAATAACTAAACTCAAATTAATCTGTGAGAAATTTAGCCATCTGAATTTATCCTTCTGCAACGGGAGGCAATGGCTTAGTGGTATTATCACTGGACTGTTAATCCAAGGACCCAGACATTGTTCTGGGGACCCAGGTTCGAACTCCACCACAGCAGATAGTGGAATTTGAATTCAATAAATGTCTGGCATTAAGAATCTACCGACGACTGTGAATCCATTGTCGATTTTCGGGAAAATCCCATCTGGTTCACTAATATCCTTCGGGAAGGAAATTGCCATTCCTACCTTGTCTGACCTATATGTGACTCCAGACCCACAACAATGTGGTTGACTCTGAACTGCCTTCTGGACAATTAGGGATGGGCAATAAATGCTGCCTAGCCAGCAATGCCCTCATCCCATGAATGAAGAAAAAAAAAATCAAATGGTCAGAGCCAAGAATCTAGCTGTCCAGTTGAATCATGTGTAAATATAAACAGGGTTTTACGTTGCAAGGTTAAGCTATTGGAGGGTAGACTCCAATGTCCACATGAACAATGTTACGTCATTTCAAGCAGACGATTAGAGGTTTCGTTTGTGATGACATGTGGACACAACAGCTCCCTCCATTGATGGAACAGACTACTGCAGATACAACTCATTTGAAACTCTCGATTCATATGTCATCAGTTCTTTGGGGTCTGTAGAACTAAACTATGTCTTGTAGCAGGTTATTTTAAACCTATGTAACTCATTGGTAAATTAAGATTTAAAGTACAGTGGAGGTTTTGACACTCTAAAAAAGACTTGCATTGCTGTAGTAACTTTCTTCACCATCAGACATAACAAAGTGGGATCTTAATGCATTGAGAACTTCGGTAAAGTTTGATTCTGGAACCTTGCCTTTAGTTAAGCAAAGAAATTCAGAAACCTGCACTGTTTAATAGAGAGAAAGGAATTGCGATTCCTTCAACAGCACCTTTCAAACCCATGACCTCTAGAATATAACAGCAGTATATGCATGGGAACACCACCAAGACCCTCTTCACACCCACACCATCCCAACTTAAAATGACTTTGCCATTCTTCCTTGGATGTCCCTTCCTAACACCAAGAAAGCAGCGCGCCACCGCATTCTCTAGGCATTTATGGATGGGCAATAAATACTGGCCTCACAAGCAACGCATACACATTGTGTGAATGATTTTTTAAAACCATGATCTGGATCCTACAACCTTTATGCCTCCAATATTTTAATCAGGTTAACTTTTTTTGGAATGAAAATGCAGAATTAGAGGATCTGGAAATTTAAAAATTTTAAACAAGACTGAAACTTGATGTTAAAAGAAAATTACACCAGACATTTGAACAATAGCCACCCATTGAAAACAGCCAGTATGATTCTGACTAGTTTGCAGTTCAGTTCAAATAATATATTAGAAGAATGCTTGGAAAATTATAAGGATAAGTATACACAGTCATGATCAAATGTTGTCAATGGTTTGGTAATTACTTGTGGAGTGAATCTGGTACTATTTGAATTTTTTGTACAATTATTTATTAAGATTCTTGAGTTTTCCTCTTTTATTTTAAATATTAGGAAGGGATCTGATAAATCTTAATTTCCTGCTAAGATTCCCTGTAGTCCATTATCTCCCTTTAGAAACAGGTTACCTTGAATAAATCCAATCATAGACCCTTCACTTTTTTTTCTCTGACTAACACACATTAGATGGCTCAATGGCCCTTTCCCATTCCATACTTATCCACAGTCTGTACAAGCTTCACCCATTATGAATGTGTAACAGCAGCAGTCATCCAGGAGTTGCAACAGTGGCCAGCAAGACTACTCAAGTAGCCCTAACTCTGGGCACTTGCACCCTCCCTATACAAGTCAGCTAAAATCTTCAATCCTCTTGTTCAATTAGTGTTACTTGATGTGTCAACTAAAAATGAACACTGTTGAGTACTTAGCATAGAATTTCCTCTTTAATGTTTTACCAGAAGAGTTTGATGGGGCGCATTAGTGAAGATATTTCCTCTTATGACAAATGCAAAACTAGAGATAAGCATGAGAGAGTTCCAATAAATACAATGAGGAATTTTGGATAAATATCTGCGTCCAGCAAATGGTTAGAATGTGGAATTTGTTGCTTCAAGGAATGGTTGAGACTAATAGCATTGATGCCTTATGACAAGTATATGAGGGAGGAATCAACAGGGATCCAAATGTTATGGGGAAAAGGCAGGAAAGTGAAATTGAGGATTAATTGATAAGCCATGATCTTATTGGTGGAGCAGATTGGATGGGCTGAACAGCTACTTCTGCTCCTACGCCTTAATGGAAGGACATGTTGATAGGTTGATATAAAGTAGCATAGGAGAAAATCTGTGTGGAGTATCAGAAAAGACTGCTTTAGCCATATGGCTTGTTCATGCATTGTAAATGATATGGAAAGGTGCCCCAATTTATTCCATATGGGGTATGTGATCAACTCTACCAGATTTTCCTTTAATGATCACCTATTGCAAAGTGCTGAATGCCCAAGTTTAAAATGCCCCCTTGCCCCTGTAATTTCAAATATTGTGACTTATTTTGAATTTGATTTCTGTACAAAATAAGCTTAAACATTGCCTTTCTTGTTAACAGACCAAAGGAGCTCTTATTAAAAAAATCATACTGATGGCTTTAGACCAGCTGAATCGATCCAAGTTCACAACACAAACTGGTTCTGTTTTGCCAGTCTGCTGTCTTCAGGAACCTAGATGAATGATGTAGAGAATGCATTGACACCTTGTGCCTAAGGCAGAAGTCATATAACACCAGGTTGTAGTCCAATAGGTTTATTTGAAATCATAAAGTTTTGGCGCTTTCGTCAGGTGAAGGGGCAGCACTTCAAAAGTTTGTGATTTCAAATAAATCTGTTGAACTATAATCTGGTGTCGTGTGACTTCAAACCTTGTCTATCCCAGTCCAACACTGGCGCCTCCACATCATGGTGACCTTATGCCTAGTTTTAGAGAGTCCTCATTGTTATTGAAGAATGAGGGTATGATCTTGATTGTATTTCTGGGGGTGAAAGCTTTCAGATTGTGCATGGTCTTAACTTGAAACATTTGTAGAATTGCTTTCTGTAACAGTTTTGTACAAAGATTTGAATTAGAGGTGGACAGGATGATGGAACACTGATTAACTCCTGGCATTCTCAATAACTTCCCTTTCCCCCACCACATATTCTCCAAATCCCCAATTTAAGTTGAAACTACACATCGAGAAAAATTTTCAAATTTGCAGCAAATGACTCCATAGAAGAAGCAAAAATTTAAATGAGCGTGTTTAATTATTTTATAGCTTCTACTTGACACTCATTCTCTGAAAACAGTTCTGCTTGATCTTCCTTCGATTGGTTCTCAAGTCATACGCAAGGCCCCAGCAAGCTACACAAAGATTGTCGTCAAAGGCATGACTCGGGCAGAGATGATTCTAAAGGTAAGAAAATTCAGCTCTGTGTATGAAATGTGATGTAGCTGGCTGCTGCAAATCCCTCACAGGCTGGGAATCTGAAATGTTAGATTTACTAGGTAATATCTCGACCTCAAATACTGGATTTTTGGGAGCGATTGTCCAGTGATCATCTCAGCAGGTAACACTTTACCGGTCTGAGCAGCCATTCGAATGAAGTGATATCATCGCGGAAAATCCATCCCATGTACTCTATTGTGTTTTGTATAGTGTACAATCTTTGTTGATGTGTGGAATGCACTAACTGAATTGTTCATGGTTGTTGGTGGAAGAGTTGTCAAGCAGCACTCTACAGCTGCTTATAAGGAAATAACAGCACAAACACAAATTACTGGAGAAACTTAGGTTCTGGCAGCATCTGTGGAGCGAATATAATGTACCCGCTCTAATGTGACTGTGTGACTTGTTTGAGTTGCAGGAGTGGGGGTGGGGAGAGAGAGAGAGACATGTGTCTATGTGCTGACTCTTCACTGCTGTACCCTTATCCCAAGGCATTGCAAACAGATTTGTGATGATCTGCAATACTACTGTTGCAATAAAGGATGTTTCAAGTCCATTGATCCTTACGCAGAACTTTCTCCACAGATGCGGAGTTTCTCCAATTTCTGTTTTTGCTTCAGATTTCCAACATTGACAGTTCTTTGGTTTATTCTAAGGAAATAATACTGTTTTTTCGAGCGCAGCAATATAGTTGCAATAGGGCTGTTAGTATACTGCTCGGACAATATTATCAGTTGCAGAGATGGAATCATTAGAGACCAGGCTAATCTGTTTATTAACTCAATCTGCTCCGAAATGGATCAGTAGTACAAACTGAAGTGTCCCATTCGTGTTGCATTATTGGTTTAGAAATGGGTTTTAAAGATAAATTTTGTACAGGCTTTTAGTGGCCAGTGGTATCAACAATGTCAGTGCAAAGTTTTGGCAAACTCCATGAAACCTTGGCTAGATATTCCACTGCAGCAACAGATAACATGTTTTTGTAACCTGATGGCTCTAAAACCAATTTCTCTGGGGAAAGCTGTTGTTGCTGTTGAGCAGAAAACAGAATTAATAGAGCTCATGTTTCGACAGAAGTGACAAATGGACGGCCACATGGGCAGCTTGAGGTTTTGAATGTCTCTCACTTGTGCAGGTGAAAAGCTAATTCTCGTTTTTGTACTTTTCTTTGTACGTGAAGTAGAATGTTGGTAGAGGGAGAACATGTAAAGTTCGCGTCACTTAGATAGACGGTAAAGTGTCGTGAAAAATTGAAATTAGGGCGTCTTTTTCCATTCTTTGTTCCATGTCTGCGTAACCTTTTCTAGCCATGGGATGAGTTGGAGGCTTGCTCCTATTCACCCCATTTCCCCAACAATCCTCCTCTTTAGCAGGATAGTGAGACGTGACTCGACTTGTTATTTTAGGGATTTGTTTGATTAACATTCATTTTCTTTGAGGTTATAATTGACTGAAAGTGCCATGTTTTTGTACCCTGACTGAAAGTTGCTTCATTCTATTCCCAGGTGTAACAATTTAAGAAAGTAACCTACCAAAGGAAAATTCAGGCAGCGCTTCAGAGTAAACCAGTGTCCTGTGTTGTAATACTGATAAGTTGAGGTGCTTAAAGATTAGAGTCCTTTCAAACCCATTAGCTTTTTAGTATTGAGCTTAGTAAGTAATGAATGGCACTAGGAAATCCAAACAGTTCGTACCTCAAAATACATGTGGACAGGAAATTCCTGCCTGCAACCAGCTGCTTGTTTTTCTCATTACAAAATTATAAAATTTAATGTTGGAACCTCCCATTAACAAAAAGAAATTCAAATGCTTCACGTCACTGCTTGGAAGAACGTAAAATGCCACAAGATTGTACATTACTCAAATAATTGAAAACAATAAATGATCTGCTTTACTGGCCATTTGCAAAACTGTATTAGATCACAACTGATGTGACTGTTTTTAAATAGGGGACTGTCAGTTATATCAATTTCATGATAAATAAAAATAACAAATAAGGCAAAATTTGGAAATAAAGAAAAAAAATGCATGTTTGAAAAGCACAGTGGATCTGTCAGCATCTATAGAGGACAGGCAGGTCACTGTTGCAACCCCTTTGTCCGATTCCTCATAATACCACTGATTTCTCTTTGTCAGGATATAATACTATGTTCCGTTAATATTGTCCAAACAGTTTATTTCCTCAATTAAATGCTGCACTTTTGTGTGTGCTTTATGATTCAGTGAAGCAAGCTTGTCCTTGGACATCAGGACACTTTGTCAAATTAAGCTTTTTACAAACAAACAGCAATGGAAATTGCTGGAAATGTTCAGCAAGTCTGGCAGTACCTGTGGGAGACAAAGCAGAGTTCAAGTTTCAGGT